CATGAAAGTACTGAGCTCAAGGCATATCTTTTGGTTGTTCATTTGCCATAAAGCTTTCTGATTAGCAGGTTTAATCCTGAAGATAAAGAGAGGCAGCATGATCCATTTGGAATCAGAAGACCTGATTTCTGTTTGTGGTTCACGCACTGGCTTGCTGAATTGGGCAATTCACTTGATCTTTGTGGCTCTTCTTCCTTTACAATCCTTTGAGAGTTTAGATTGTAAGTTCTTTGTGGCAGGGGATGTCTCTTTCCAGGTGTATTACAGTATTTAACACCATGGTTTTAATCTCAGTTGGGGTCTTGAGATGCTACCATAAGGCTAGAAGTGGAGAAAGCCTTTGAAAATTCTATCCTGTAAAACACACACTAATTCTGTGCATTCAAGCATTCTCAACTGTTTTGGGAGCAATCATGACTATACGGCTCATGAGACAATCCAAAGATACATTAGATGGGTAGGAAGGAGGAAAAGGATATAAACTTTCTTGCTTCAGGGCCTCTATTAATCACTAGCTGATGGACAGATGTCTTATGGCCCCGTTTTTCATAATTGTTCTTTACTAGGTTTCTGCCACCATCTCTATAACATATGGTGCTGCTCACTGCTGGAGGCAGGATACTGGGCTGGATGGTCGACCAATCTGATAGGGAATAACAATTGTACTGGTTCTGTTGGGTTCAAAATACATGAATGTTTCAATCAAGACTTTATCATTGCTAAAACACTACTTTACTTTACATATGAAAATACACCAAACCTGTTCCTCTCCTGTCATAGATCAATACAAAAGAGAGACATAGTAAAACAGAATATCAGCTTAGGCCACAAAGTAAAATGAAGATCTATTAAATCTTCCATGGGGAAATGAAATGTAATTCATACTGTTATCTGTGTTAAAAAGCATTGCATTTTTCACTCAAAATATCCCCCTATTCACTAGCATAGTTCATATTGCACTGTGCATTTGGATAGTGCAATTTGAGAGTGGCTGTTTCCATATTATGTAAAACACTCATAGGATCAATTTAATCATCATTGCCTTCTTGAAGTACTTTCTTCTGTACTCATCTACAAATGCTGACTTTCAAAGGATGAGATACAAAGAGACAATAAAATGGTTAGGAAAGCAAAAACAATCTGTTAATGAGGTGAGATTCTTTTGAATTTTATTCTCCATCCTATTTGTTAGTAAATACTAAGTAGGAGCAAAATCTTTTTAGATTTTGTATAGCTTTTCCCCATCTTACAAAGCAGTTTTTGAAATCCAGTTAGTCACTGTGTTGTATCAGGGATCAATAGGGCTAAAATAATGATGATGATAAATTTGTGCTTCTATAGTATTTTTCATCTAAGCATCCCAAAGCGCTTCCTATACTGAAAGTTTCACAGCAGCCCTGTAAGAAGGGTAAGGGATACTTTACACAACGTTTAAATATCACCATCTCTGAAACGAAATTTGGCATTTGTTTAACAGTTCACAGCAATGCTACACAACAGTTTATAAAGAAACTATAAAAGAATACTCTCTCCATTTGAAACTTCAGGAGGAACTGAGATCTGGAAACTGTAATTACTAGAATTAAAATTTGGCGAAGACACAAGAGTGTTATACCAAAAGTGCCAAAGAATCTTTAATGACCAAAAGTGGTCAGGACTAGAAGTGGACAAAATATTTTTGGTTAATGGCGTATTCACCAAAAAAATGCAGATTTGGTCGACCCAAACTATTCACAAATTTGTTTTAAGTTCACTAAATGGTTACAACTGAACTAAAAATATCAACATGTTTCAGAAATGTCTAAATAGAATGTTTTGTTTCAACCCAACTTGAAAATGTTCATTTTGATTTTGGTTATTTTGACAAAAGCAAAACAGCTGGGAGGAGGCAGCTGCCTCCTTAGCCCCATCATTGGGAACCTTGCCAGGGATGTGGGAGGATTGGGATCAGATTCCCCCTCTGCCTAATGTGGAGAAGGGATTGGAACATGGTGTCTCACTTTGCAGGAAAGTGCCTTAACCACTGGACTATGGGATATTCTGATGTGGATCTTTCTCAATCTGTCCTCTTGAAGCTGATCCACTTTTTATAAATAATAAAACGGTCATTGGAGCATAGATTTGATGTTGGTAGAGAGCGAGAGAGAGCAGACTCTGGGCTCTCATTGCAAGTGCTGCCTGGGAATAGGGAGACAGGCCAGAAGCTGGGAGGCCTGCATAGCAGGAGAAGACTCGGGAACAAAAGGGAGGCCCAGGGGAGTGCCCTGTGGTCACATACAAGGGGCAGGGAGCTGGGAAAGACCCAGGAGTGTCTTCAGAGTTTTGTTAAGCCCTGGGTGGATGGACATTGTTTGTTGTTTCAGAGTAACAGCCATGTTAGTCTGTATTTGCAAAAAGAAAAGGAGTACTTGTAGCACCTTAGAGACTAACCAATTGTAGCTCACGAAAGCTTATGCTCAAATAAATTGGTTAGTCACTAAGGTGCCACAAGTACTCCTTTTCTTTTATTGTTTGTTGTATTGTTTCATTTGAGCTTCTGAACTCTAGTAAGGGACTCTGGCCCTCCAGTCTGAGGGACAGCTGAGACAAACAAAGATCCTGGAGTCATGAAAGATGGTGGAGCCCGAACCTTTTGAGTTATAGTATTGAACTTTATTTTGTCATTTGAGGTGTCCATTTTAATAAATTACTGTGTGATGTGGGTGTTTATTAGCCTAAGATAATGTTGGAGAAGTATTCCTGAGGACCTCTGAGAAGGAAGAACAGAGGCTGAGGGGCCAGCAGGGCCACTCCATGCCAGGAGTGGGTGCTCTGACATGGCGACAGCGTGCCATTTACATGTAGTATTAATCAAAAAGACTGTTGCTGTTCTGAACTCAGACACAGAAATGTAATATTTCTGTTTCCTCTCATTTTATTAATGGCTTTTTGTCCCGAGAGAAACAAAGAAATAATTCAATCTAATTTAAATAAAAAAACATGTAGATAATTATAATTTAAATAAAAGCATGGACAACTAGTAGGTTTTGTGTCAGGGAAGATATTTGTGTTAAATGAAATGTAAGAGCAAAGATTGTTTATACGTAATCCATAATAAACTTGGAGAAAAGCAGTTATCTGCTGCTTTATCTTGTACACATCAGTAATTTTGTGTGTGCGCTCACGTTTAATACAACCAAATAGAAGATTTTTTTAGGAATAAAGAAAATAAGATAGATGACTGTCCTGGAAAGCTGTGACTCTGGGAAAGATTCAGGGTCGTGGTGGATAACTAACTGAACATGAGCTCACAGTGTGATGCTGTGATTAGGAGGACTAATGCTATTCCATATAAAGAGGTCATCATTAGGAGCAGGGAGGCAGTATTACCTCTGAATACAAAATTAGTGAGACCATTAATGGGATAAATACCACATCCAGTCCTGATGTGCACACTTCTAAAAGGATATTTCAAAAGGTTCAGAAGAGAGCTACAGTAATGGTTCAAATGATGGAAAACATGTTAACTGTGAGAGAGTAAAGAAACTCAATTTATTTAATTACATAAGAACATGAAGTTGCATTCCTGACCATCATGACTAATAATCATTGATAGCTCTATCCTCCATGGACTTATCTAATTCTTTTTTGAACTCAGTTATACTTTTTGGCCTTCACAACATCATTTGACAATGAGTTCCACAGGTTGACTGTGTATTGTGTGAAGAAGTACTTCCGTATGTGAGTTTTAAACCTGCTGCCTATTAATTTCATTGGGTGTTATATGAAGGGATTAAAAAAAATTCCTATTCATTTTCCCAACACCATTCATGATTTTACAGACCTCTATCATATACCCTTAATCATCTCTTTTCTAAGCTAAACAGTCGGAGTCTCTTTAGTTTCTCCTCATATGGAAGCTGTTCCATACCCCAATCATTTTGTTAACCTTCTTTGCACTTTTTCCAATTCTAATATACATTTTCTGAATGGGACAACCAGAACAGCATGTAGTGTTAAAGGTGTGGGCATATCATGCCACTCTCTTATTATCTATACCTTTCCTAAGGTTTCCTAACACAGTTAGCTTTTTTGACTGCCATTGCACATTGAGAAGATGTTTTTAGAGAACTATCCATGATGACTCCAAGATCTCTTTCTCAAGTGGTAACAGCTAATTTAGATGTCATCTGTTTTGTATGCATAGTTGGGATTATTTTTCCAGTGTGTGTTACTTTGCTCTTATCAACATTGAATTTCATCTGCCATTTTGTCTCCCAGTCACCCAATTTTGTAACTTTGTAACTCTTTGTAATCAGCTTTGGACTTAACTGTTTTGAGTAATTTTGTATTGTCTGCAAACTTTGCCACCTCACTATTCGCTCCCTGTTTCAGACCATTTTATGAATATTTAGTTTAATAATGAGTAGGTTAAGAGGTAACTTGATCATTGAGAGAAAATTTCTGCTAGTAGAGAAGTCTTTAACCTAACAGACAAATGCATAATAAGATCCCATAGATAGAAGGTGAAGCTAGATAAATTCAAACTCTAAATACAGTGCAAGTCTCTAACAGTGAGGGTGATTCACTGGGTTGAGATGGATTCTGCATCACAAGAAATCTTTAAAACACGATTGGATTCAAATCCCGGTGAAATATAATTTTGGTATGGGAAAATTAAGTTTTTGTAGAGTATATGTTATTTCCAGTTTGTATTTCTTGTTGTACTAATTATTTAGACTGTATCCAGTCAGAAAAGACGTTTGTACATTCAAAATGGATAATTTTATTCCCAAAAGTCCATTTAAGTGAACCGTTATTCAATTTAAGTGCATAAATACTGGCTTTCATATGAATATATAGTTTTTTGCAGGCATAATGAGTGGTTGCCTATTTTTTTCTGGTGTATTCTGAAACTACCTTATCATGCTGTGGTTAAAGGAAACGTCCAAACATATACTTGTGAATATTCAGGGAAAGTCATAGTAGTTTTTGTTTTGTTTTTTTTTAAACTCTTCTAGCTAAGAAGAAACCAAAACTCTTAAACAAGTTTGATAAGACCATTAAAGCTGAACTGAATGCTGCAGAAAAGCTACGTAAAAAGGTAGGTTTGAATTCTGTTTCTCCTGGTGCGGTGAACTATGGCTACAAACAAACAGGCATCAAGATAATAGGGATAATGAATTTTATATTTGTTTCTGTTTTTCTCTAACCAGGCATTCAGCACACATTTGTGATTGTACTTCAATGTTCATTTTAGCTTGGTCATCACCTTTCATCCTTTCGGGTCATAATGTATGTTCTTTCATATCTGTCATAGGCACTCACAGTGTTTTATAAAATTTACATCTTAACCACTTACTGAATTTTGTATTTTTTTTAAATGTTCACATCTTTGTCTCTAAGTGCATATACAAAATATTTATTTTAAAAAATTATCAGGCCCTGGTCAATGGATATATGGACATTCTATATCCACCTGTAAAAATAAATATACTCCTCTATCTCTTCAGGCAGAAACCTGAGTGAACAGACTAGTTTTTACAAATCGTCCTGAACATCAATAAATTCTGGCTCTGTCTTACTAATGGGTACACAAAGCTCCAACCTCTCTACTCACATGTTCAAATTGAATCACTGCAACAAAAGCACACCAGCTGAGCTCAACTGTCTTTAAAGTGATTAAGGAGATAGCAAATTCTTCAAATAAAAAGGATCATATAAGGACTGATAATACTACAGCTTGTTAATATAAATGCCCAGCAAAACAGGAGAGATATAAATATATGCACAAGATGGAAATACCGTATGAATAACAAATTTCAGTGTTCATTATTTGTAAAACCTGGGGAAAAAAACAAACTAAAACCAAACAACCAACACCCCCCCACACACACATACACACCCCCTCCCCCCACACACACACACATAACAAACACCCATAAACTATATTGGTCATGCAGGGCATCAAATGTAAAAATGACTAAGTAGATATATAAGTGAGAACATAAGCTATGAGTATTGGGGACTAATATATCCTAAACTGCAAAAATATGCAATAGTTTGATGTGTAACCAGATAGCCTTATTTTTCCCCCCAAGTATTGCTATTAGACCATGTCATTTTTTTCCATTAATGCAATAGTAAAGAGCTCACTAAGCCAGTCTGTGTAGGAGGGAGGAATTGCAGATTTCTATTTTCTGAGATAACTCTTTTGGACACTGCTGCAATCCATTTCTTAATGTTAACTGGTAATACCAATCCAGCACCTCTCCAATACACAAGCTTAGAGAATGAAAAATAGCAACACTTAAAAATTTGAGAGAGCACTGAATATGGGGTTGAAGAACACATGCATTTTTGACAGGTATAGAGGATGTGTTAAAGGTTGGCATGGGGCTGTTTGCATCTTCAACAATCTAGCTTTACACATTCTGGAGTCCTATAATACCTGTTTAATATCTTGTCTAGAAGAATCACAAGTATAAAGAACTTGAAGTATCCTTCATGTTAAGCCAGATATCCTCCCAGTTTTCTGTTGTGACAATAAGGCTAAGTTTTTTCCCCTGTTTTACTCCGAGACTGAGATTGAGAGGTAATAGCCACCTATAAGTAATTCCTACAAAGTGGCTTTTGTTTCCAAATTTCTTAACATGTTCCTAGAGGTGAGAGTTGAAAGAGACCTATTGTCCCCCATCCTTGCATGAATCCTTGAGCATAGCTGCTGAAAGAAGGAACTGTGAGACTGCGGTAGCCGATATTGCATATATAATTGAAGAAGGCCAGTCTATTGTCTTGTATTATATCTTTCATTATTGTTAATCTTTTTTCTCTTCAAATTGTTTTAAGCATAGAGCTGGCTTTGATCCTGAGGCCTGGGCTATTCTATAGTGGTACAAGAGGAGAATTAGTAAGATGAGATACTGTAATCAACATGGTGCAGGAGGCTCCATGGAGATGCAAAGATTGGATTTTTCCTTAAGTGTGTGGGTAGTCTCTTAAGGATATAAAATAAGAAAGGGAACCAAATGGCATAGCTATGCTTTTTTCAGTCTAAAACCAGGCCAGTGTGTATACAGAGCTACTAGAGGGCATCCACCTTCCAGTAGGATGCATTTGGAATGGTAGATAATCCATCCAGTTGCCTAGGATTTTTTAAGAGAGTGGCAAGCAAAGTTATTTTATATAAATTGCATGAAAAGCCTATTTTTTCAAGCAAAGGAGAGACCTTGAAAGGCAATAAGCGAATGATATAAGTCTGTCTAGTGCAGATATTCATTTTGGCTATTTCTATTCCTCTGCAGTAAGGACAGAGGGAGGAGACACCACATCTCTACATTCTTGGAAATTTCTTTTAATACATAGGCCATATTTATAGAAACAACTTTGGGGTGATTAGGATAAATCTTAACGCCTAAATAAGTTATTTCCTTGCATTTTTCAAATGGAAAATGCTGAAACTGAGAAAGATCTGTTCTCTTGGATAGATCCATTGCTTGTGATTTATTCCAGTTAATGCAAAAACCAGAGATCTTTCCAAAAATATCAACTGCATTCAATAAAGAGGGGATTGATGAGGATGTCTGATTTAAAGCTTGTTAGAATTGCTTAATATGATTATTTATATCTATCGGTTCAAAGATGGCATTCCTGTCCTCTTGTAATAAGGAAGAAATATTGTTGGCTAGATCCAATCTAAGTCTTCTGGCAAATAGTTGACTTGTTTTATTTCCCTATTCATAATATCTTTATTTGACCCTGTTGAGTGAAAATTCAATGAATGCTGGATAAGCATTCATTATATTTATATTTGTCATTGATTAGAGAACATGGAAGGTTTTCATTATTTGGGTCAATCTTATACTTTCTCAGCAATTCATCTGGAGTACTGTGTCCAGTTTTGGGCCCCACACTGCAAAAAGGATGTGGATAAATTGGAGAGAGTCCAGCGAAGGGCAACAAAAATGTTTAGGGGTCTAGAACACATGACTTATGAGGAGAGGCTGAGGGAGCTGGGATTGTTTAGCCTGCAGAAGAGAAGAATGAGGGGGGATTTGATAGCTGCTTTCAACTACCTGAAAGGGGGTTCCAAAGAGGATGGCTCTAGACTGTTCTCAATGGTAGCAGATGACAGAACGAGGAGTAATGGTCTCAAGTTGCAGTGGGGGAGGTTTAGATTGGATATTAGGAAAAACTTTTTCACTAAGAGGGTGGTGAAAGACTGGAATGCGTTACCTAGGGAGGTGGTAGAATCTCCTTCCTTAGAGGTTTTTAAGGTCAGGCTTGACAAAGCCCTGGCTAGGATGATTTAACTGGGAATTGGTCCTTCTTCGATCAGGGGGTTGGACTAGATGACCTTCAGGGGTCCCTTCCAACCCTGATATTCTATGATTCTATTTCCTTGTCCAGAAAGTCTAGTAACTTGAGTGTTTCTCTCTCCTTTCAGAGGCATACTTTATGCATTCACCCCTTACAGTAGCGTTCAGAGCTTCCCAGAAGATGGTGTCTGAGGGAGCTTCTTTCTTGTATGACTTCAGAAATGACTGTATCAACTGCAGAACAAAACTTTGCATCTTTTAGTAGCAGAGTCCACCTAGGAGATTTTAATGATGCGCAACCAGTGTCTGTGATAAATATAATTGGAGCATGATTACTAAAAACACACTTGTTGTATGATGATTCTCCATTTACAATTACATTAGAAACCTATCAGTTAGCCAAGTTTTAATCCATTTAATGTGTGCCATGTTAATTTTATATCTTTCTAGTTTTTTAATCAAAATGTCATGTGGTACCAACTCAAATACCTTACAGGAGTCTAACTATATTATATCAACACAATTACTTTTATCAACCAAACTTGTAATCTCATAAAAATTTTGATTGGCATTAATTATATTAACCTCCTTTAATTCTTTATTAATAGAGTTCCATATCATCCAGTATATTGCCCAGGATGGATGTCAGATAGGATAACCCGGTAATTATAGACGTGTTTACCCTTTTTGAATATTGGCACAACATTAGCTTTCCTCCAGTCTTCTGGAACTTCCCTGGCATTCCAAGACTTGTTGAAAATCGCCATTATTGATCTAATGAGCTCCTCAGCCAGCTCTTTAAAACTCTTGGATGCAAGTTATCTGGACCTGCTGATTTAAAAATTGCTAACTTTAATAGCTGCTGTTTAACAACCTCCTGTGATACTAGTGGAACAGAAAGTGTTATCATATTATATTGCTACATTACTACAGATCACATAACTTCTGTTTTTCCCCCAATTACAAAACAGAAATATTTCTTTCTTTCTCTTCTGCATTATTATTGTTGTACTATTTCCATCTAGTAATGGGCCAATACCATTGTTAAGATTATTTTTGTTACTAATATACTTAAAAAACTTCTCCTTATTGTTCTTAACTCTGTTGGCCATAGATTTTTCCTTGAGTCCCTTTGCTTCCCTTATCACTTTTCTACAGTTCCTGGCTTCTGATTTATGTTCATTACTTTCAATTTCCCCTTTCTTCCATTGGTTATATATATAGATATAGATATAAATATAAATCATTTTTTATAGATGCTTTCACTCTCCCCCCTAAACCAGGCCATTTTTTTAACCAATATGACCTTTTTCCTGAAATGTGGGATTGTGGCTTTTGAGGCATCTAATAAATGTTCTTAAACAATTCCCAATTATTCAATTTTTTCTGATTAAATTCTTCCTCACAGCTGATTTGGCTCATAATTGTTTTCAGCTTTATGAAATTGACCCTTTTAAAGCGCCAGTATATATAACTGGTCTGGACTTTATTCTGTTTGCACATTATAAACGTGGTCAAGTCATGATCACTTGTACCCAAGTTACCATTAATTTTTAGTTCTGTGATCGGTTCCTCTTTATTAGACAGGGTCTAATATAGAATTTCCCTGTATTCTGCTGCAACACTTTTTGAGTTAGGAAATTATAATATTTAGAAATTCCAGGTAGACTTCAGTGCTGTCAGCATGAGACTTCCAGTATATGTCACCCAAATTGAAGTGCCCCAGCTTCTCTCCCCCTCCGCTTACCCGCCAAGAAGGAGAGAAATTGGAATACTCAAGTACAATCCTATCCATCTGTGCCAGGGCCAAAGTTGAGTCAATCACATCAAAGGCTGCTGATATAAAAGAATCCGCCTGAACATCTGATCGCTGTCCATTTTTGGGAAGAAGTTTCCAGCCAGCAAAACTTCTGTGGACTCCGTCCCATACCCAGATTCAGTGTAGAGGAAGCAATTGAATCTGAAGACTCCAAATGATCCCAAAGTTCCATTGTCATTGTCTTCTCAATGAACTTATGTAAAGATGCAGGTTAGAGACAGGGCGACAGTTAGCAAGATTCTCAACATCAGGAGATGGATTCATGAGTACCAGCCTAATGACTGCTCTTTTGGGTGAAGCTGCCACCTTGTCTTCTGTGAAGGGTTAAGGGTTAGTATATCACACTAAATAATCAACAGACTTGTTTACTGGATGTATGGTATATACATTTCTTATTTATGTCTGAAACCACTTTGGGTTGGATCCATCTCTCTGGGTATACCAATGAAATATGTTCATTCCCTAACAGGAGCAGAAGTGAGACATCACTTCAAATGAGAGACGGTGATGTTCAGCTCATAATACAGCAGTAATTCTTATTCTTGTAATCATAATCCTTAAAACTAGATCACGTGGGACTGGATCATAGTTGTCGTGTCAATCATTATATATAGTCAACCAAGAGGGGCTATTGTCTATGTGGTCATTGAAGTTGCCCATTGCAAAAAAGCCTAGATTACTTGGGCAAGGCAAAACCTTGGTCAACTCAGCTCTACTGAAGTGAAAATTCTAGCTACAGTCAGCTATTTCTAGTACTGCATTTTAAATTCCTTGATTAACTGCTTCTGACCAAATTTACTTTTTAAGGTGTAATGTGATTTGCCTTAGTGTCTAGTATTTTACAGTACAATTTTAATCCATCTAAGTTTTTTTTCAGCCATTGTAAGACCAAGCAAAACAATTGGTTTTAACCAAAAGCAGCTAATTATGTTGAGCTATATGTATTCATAAAAATGTATTTCTCTGGAATAAGCAGGCAGTCTGGTCAGATAGTGTGTAAGAGAAAAACCTCTAAATTAACCATATGAAATATTTTTCTGCTTTGTTTTATGGAATCGGTGGTACTAGTCATATTACACCATTTATCCCTCAGGGTTCTGTAAGTGATTTGCTACAAGATACAGAAAATATTTAGTATAAATATCTTCCTTTCAGGGAAAAGTTGAAGAAGCTGTGAAGGCCTTTGAAATATTAGTGAGCAAATATCCACAGAGTCCACGAGCAAGATATGGGAAAGCACAGGTACCAGTGAAACTGTTGTAAATGGAAAAATAATATTCAGAGGTTACCTAATAATATAGTCCTGTGTACAAAACAGACTTTCTGTATTCTATACAGTGATCCCAGTTTTTAAGTTAAAACCCCCGCTTATCTATTTCAAGCATCCTCCCCCTGAAAATAAAGACACTGGAAAACAAGCTCTGACTTCATAATAATTTAGTTCCTTGATACAGTAACTCCAAAACAGAAATAATCATTTTATTTTCATAAAGCATGAAGGAATCACAGGAACAGGTGTAATAAAAATCTGTTTGAACTCATATTAATCAAGATAAGCCAAGTGAAACCATCATAGTAGAAGGAAGTTGCTCTGTGCTACAATTAATGAGGCATTTGAACTGGAGTCACTATCCATTTTCACTCGGTAAATAACAGTTATGCTAAAACCAAAGTCCCAACTACTAAAAAAAAATCTAGTGCATAGACATTGCTACACAGTGGACCAAATTCTCTGGTCATGTAAACAGATGAAATTCCATTGACGTCAAAGGAGCTACACCCTTTTACACCAGCAGAACATTTGGCCCCATTTGTGCGATGGTGCTTCAGTTAAGGACAGATTTCTTTATTAAACAGTGCTTTTCATATTTCCCTTCTTTATGAATTAACCCCTTCCACAGAGCTGTAATTTAATGCTTGCAAACGTTTTAAACAGTAACTCCTCATAGTATAATAGAATGCCGTAAATGTGTGTAGCACTATTCTCACAGTCTCACAGAGCTTAACAGTCAGAAAAGAACAAGACTCCATAACACTAAATAAAGTATTAACAAAATGCCACACTCAAATGGTAGTTCTCTTGCTGCTGAAGCAGTCCGCTGGCCAACAGGAGGAGGGTTCAACTGGTATCAAATGTCTGTGGAAGCATTACAGAAGAATTAAAATTGAAACCAACAGCAGCCTGCATTTCAGTGGGGACTTTGGATGAAGCTGGTACAAGTGTGAGAGGAAGGTGATTTTAATACTTATCCCCATTGCACTTAGATTAAAGCTGCAGTTGTAAAAAAAAAAAAAAGAGAGTTTTTTTGAGAGCAGTTTTGGCACAACTTCAATCGAAGTGATTTTTTTGTGTGTGTGAGAGAGAGATAAGTACTGGGCCAAATTTTGCCCGCAGCTAAAGCCATTTTGTTACCCCACTGAGTTGTCCAGGTGTAAATGGGAACAGAAGTCTAACGGCTCAGGAAGCAGAGAGCAGTGTTCGTGTTAAATGCCATTTCTGCTATTTACTATTCTGGGGCTAGCCAGAGGCTGCTCTAATGTACTCTGACAGGAACAACTCCCTGTAAGCTGTTCCACTGGCAGAGGGTTGTCCAGAGTTCTGGCACTGGCATGTGCCTCTCCTCACCCCCAAAGCACCCCTTACACTGGGAGCAGGGGGTATGAAACCAGCTATACTGACTTTTTGACATCCAAGGTTTCCTTCAAAATGTTGGGAACTTCAGTTGCCCTTTTAAGACCGTTTTAATATCACTTTGGACCACTTCAGTGTAGCAGTATGATTCTGAAAGGGGCTGAGGATCAGGCTCTAATATCATAATTAGCACTCTTTTCTCAGGCATGCATAAGTAATTTCTTATACGTCCATCTCTGGTTTTGGCAGCCTTGTATTCTACCTATAGAATTTGTAATCAGGGGCATTAACTTTGCTTTAAGTAACTGATGGAACTCCTATTGATTTCAGTGGAGGATAGGGACCTTTGAAAGCAGTTGGACAATCACGGTGTGCACTGAAGTACTACGGATCATTCCCAGGACTGCCATAACATAATTTTATTTATAAGACAATGTTACTTTTAACAGGGTATTTGAACCAGTAAAACCCTACTCATATTCACTGTCTCTTATCACTAACTAAGGGCTCGGTCTGCAATGAAGAGCAGAGATGAAATCCTGGACCACAGAGGATAATAGGAATATTATTATTATTCCTCCCACTGAAGTCAATGGGAGCTTTGCCAGCGACTTCAAGGAGGCCAGGATTTCACCCTAAGAGTGTCCTCACTCCTGCATTATGAAGGCACCATTGACTTCATACAATACATAAGAACTGGCCAGATTCTAATAGATAGATGGGGCTTGTTTTTTTTCTTGTTCTGAAAATTGTAAAGGTGTGGATGTTCCTCTCCCCAGATTTCTGCAACAGCAGTTGTTGTTATGGTATTATCCCAAAAGTACAAGCAATTTCTATGTTGATTTCTTGGCCTGGCTGAGACCATATCAGAATTGCTATATTGTAGTGGTAATATCTTACATAGATGTAGTGCCTTTCATCCTCAGAGATCTCAGAGCTCTTTCCAAATGATATGTGATGTGATATGTATCACTGAGATTTGATATATGTTAGTATCTTACCTCAGATTATACGATGACAGCTGTTCATTCCTACTATATTTTTTCCATAAACATCCTTCCCCATCCTGCATCCTAGAAAATAAGCCAGTTTCTTAGAGGGTATTACATCAAGAAAAAATAAATTATTCCTAACTATTGATTTCTGAGTTTGTCTCTGGGACAAACCGCTCAAATGTTTGGCCGATGTGACCATGTTGCTTGGTATTTTCCCATTTCAGTTTTCAGAATAGTGAGCCTGAGCCAATCAGTGATGATGTGCTGAATTGATTGTATAAACAAAGAAGTTCATTGAACATTGCAAACTTTAAAAAAAACCCTGTAGGTAAAGAGTTGCTAGGTATTAACTACTGACAGCAACAATATGCAACTAATGTGATTGAAACATTTTAATTAATGCCAGTGTAGCCGATAAAACATTGAATCCAGATTGATTGACCTACATATGTTTCCATTACTGAAGTGCTTGTGACACACAAAAGCACCTACCTCGTCATGCTAATTAGCAAAACATGAATGAAACACAGGACAATAAAAATAGGAGACATTCGGAAGGAGTCATAGAACACTACTAATTTGACTGAGCATAGAAAGCATATAAATTAATATCCACACTTTTAAAATTAAGTATGTGAGATCAGTCTAGCTCTGTTTCACTACTGAATACTCAGGAGCAAAATATATGCAGACAATGGAGAGAGGTTCCATGCTAGCGGTGAAATCTTGGTTCTCTTGAAGTCCATGGGAATTTTGCCATGGTCTGCGAAGGAGTGAGGATTTCATCCTTCATGTCAATATGCATCTAAGTCTGCTTTCAAACTTGAAAAACAAAATGAGGTTCATGGAACATTCCTAGTAGAATTTATCAGCTACTGTAGGATGAAGTGGGGGAGACAGGAAATAATTTTTGCGAGGTAAGAGAAAACACTAGGTAAAGGGAAGAGTGAGAGTGCACGAGTGCAAGGTATAAATGGAAGAGGTAAGGGTGAAAAGCACGATGAACAGGGAGAAGCAGGTTGGGGTCCAGAAGGGTTCCAATGGTGGAAGAAGAACTGAATGGAGGCTGGGAGGACAGCAAACAAAGGGGAAAATATCCAGAGTTCTCATACTGTCAGAAGGCTGAGAAGGTTGCTTTCCTGGCTGTTTCCCCCTCATTGGGAGAGGAGAGAGAACTCACCCAGCAGAGGGGCAGGAAGGGGATCTAGAAGGCCTTACCTTGCAACCTTGGCTATGGCTGGTGCTGGCTGCTTTGAGGGAGGAGTCCTGAGAGTCTGGGAATTGTCACGGTCTGCCACTCCGCCCCCCCCACAGGCTTCTCCTGGCTGCAGCTGCTGTGAGGTTGGAGTGGAGGGGAGAAAGTGATGGGGTCCAATGCTCTGAGCGTTTTCCCAAGCCTTATAGAACCAATCTTCTCATTCACATGCTGATAAGGTGTAGCAATTTGTTTTTAAATAACACAAGATTTATTGTTATTGTTATATGCCACAAGCTACCAGAAAATTATTGAGCACCTGGTAAATTATGGTATCACTTTAACAATAGCTCAGGTATCGTTCAGCTCCCAGGGCGGCTGCTTCTCTGACTTTCTCATGAGCCAACGTCTGGAGAATTTAGAAAATTAGGCGTTCTCCACTGACAGCTCTGATTTGTATAAAACATATTCCTTCCATATTGTCTTTTTAAAGCAGAAATTCTGATTTCAACTATTATCACCCACAAAGTTTTTAGAATTTGATATGATGCATTGCATTAGCATGTTACCTTTGAAAAATACAACATGACAAATTTTCAGTTGGAATAAACTCAGTGACTTCAGTGAAGTTACATGAACCAAAAATTTGGCTCCAAATCTATATATATTAGCAAATGGTCTATGCTGATACACCTTCTGATATAAGAATGCTGTTTCATCTCATTCACACGGATGCCTGTCAAGAAGAGAATGCAGAAGTAAGAACCTGCTGTAGGTGAACAAAGTGCCTTGTGCTTATATGCAGGTATATTTTCTCATACATATGATGACAAATATTTCCAAGGGATAGGTGAATGCTGGATATAAATCCACCTTTCCAGCGTGCACAAGCAACTAGAGTTCTGCTCCAAGCTCACACCAAAATTGCCTGCACTTGAAGACACTTGTTAAATTTGACACATTAATGAGGAATGATACAGTTTTGCCTTTACCCAAAGTAATTTTTTTTAAACTCCCAACTATATGATGATTTGTTATGTATAACAATTTTGTGATTCCACCTAGTGTGAGGATGACTTAGCTGAGAAGATAAGAAGCAATGAAATACTGCAAAAAGCCATCAATACGTTTGAGGAGGTGGCTAGCCTGCCAGACGTCCCTGCTGATCTGGTAAAATTGAGCCTGAAACGACAAGCAGACAGGCAGCAATTTCTTGGTAAGATTTAAATATCAATAAGGTTCAATAAGGATAAGTGCAGGGTCCTGCACTTAGGACGGAAGAACCCAATGCACAGCTACAGTCTAGGGACCGAATGGCTAGGCAGCAGTTCTGCAGAAAAGGACCTAGGGGTGACAGTGGACGAGAAGCTGGATATGAGTCAGCAGTGTGCCCTTGTTGCCAAGAAGGCCAATGGCATTTTGGGATGTATAAGTAGGGGCATAGCAAGCAGATCGAGGGACGTGATCGTCCCCTTCTATTCGACATTGGTGAGGCCTCATCTGGAGTATTGTGTCCAGTTTTGGGCCCCACACTACAAGAAGGATGTGGATAAATTGGAAAGAGTCCAGCGAAGGGCAACAAAAATGATTAGGGGTCTGGAACACATGACTTATGAGGAGAGGCTGAGGGAGCTGGGATTGTTTAGCCTGCAGAAGAGAAGAATGAGGGGGGATTTGATAGCTGCTTTCAACTACCTGAAAGGGGGTTCCAAAGAGGATGGATCTAGACTGGTTCTCAGTGGTAGCTCATGACAGAACAAGGAGTAATGGTCTCAAGTTGCAGTGGGGGAGGTTTAGGTTGGATATTAGGAAAAACTTTTTCACTAGGAGGGTAGTGAAACACTGGAATGCGTTACCTAGGTTGGTGGTGGAATCTCCTTCCTTAGAAGTTTTTAAGGTCAGGCTTGACAAAGCCCTGGCTGGGATGATTTAATTGGGGATTGGTCCTGCTTTGAGCAGGGGGTTGGACTAGATGACCTCCTGAGGTCCCTCCCAACCCTGATATTCTATGATTCTATGATTCTATGAAATATGGCTTATGTGTATGACTTAAATGTGCAGAATTTATGGGGAAGATTTTCAAATGTGCTTAAGGGAAGGAGAAACACCGACCAGTTCCATTCATTTTCAATGGGATTTGTATACCCAAGTCCCTTACATACTTTTGAAAAATCTCCCCCTAAAATGCTGTTAGTTATCACTTATTTAGATTACAGTAATGCTTAGAGGGCCAAGAATTGGGCCACATTTTGCTAGGTGATGTGCCTATAGTGAATGACAGTCCTTGACTCAAAGTTTACAATCTATACAGACAGAGGTAGGAGAAGGAAGTTTTGCTAGGCTTATTTTCAGAGGGTGTAACTGAGGCAAGGAGAGATTAAGTGCTTACACATGATCATGCAGGGAACCTGCAACAGAACAACCTTGGGTATGTCACTTCACCTCTTTGTCTCAGTTTTACTATCTGTAAAATTGGAATAATGATGCTTATCTTCACTTTGTAAAGTGCTTTGAGATCTACTGATGAAAAGCACTGTACAATAGTTAGGTGTTGTTGCTATTGTTGTTCTCCTGAGTCCCAGTCTGGTGCCTTTAGCGACTGTCCTTCCTCCCTGGATGTTTGGGAAAGTGCTGTTTCTCAAAATCAGACCGTCATTTTTAATGCATATTTTGAGGTTTTAAAAATCTATTTTGAAGCTGTTAATGTACTGTTAAGGGACTGTAATTAGTGAGTATAATTCTGTCGACAAGAAATCTCATATTTATTATTGTTCACAAGCTTTCTGTCAGTTTTATTTGTTTAGTTTTATTTATTTAAACTGTTCTATTAACATAATTTACACTTGTTGCTATTGAAACTCTTTCTAAGAAGCAGAAAGTTAAGTATTATGCCACCAGTGAGGTATTCTGTATCTCAGCTGTGTGGTTTGCTAGATCTCATGGGTTAAAGCACGACATGAAAACGGTCTTAAACAACCAATCAGTTGGCTGACAAAAAATCACTTGTCTTTAGTGGTGTTGCAGCCATGTTGGCCACAGGATTTTAGAGAGACAAGGTGGGTAAGTTAATATATTTTATTGGACCAAACTTCTGTTGGTGAAAGAGGCCAGCTTTGGGACTCTTATACCTGAAGGAAGAACGCTGTGTAAGCACCAAAGCTGTCTTTCACCAACAGAAGTTGATACAATAAAAGATAGTACCTCACCTACCTTGTCACTCAAAAATCACTTGTTTATTTAATGGATAGGGTCTTGCACTGGGGTGGAGTACAACTGTATTCAGTACATTCATGGATAATTTAGGGCTACTTCTAGATTGTCTAATACAGATGGTATCTTGTACAGTTTTCCTTGTATATTTCTGTGTCTAGGTTTTTATGAAGTAGCCCATCACCATGGTATCTGAATTCTTACATGCTTTTTTGTAAGTTGGTCTTACTTTTCAGCTAATAACTTTAGCTTAGAATTCTATCTTCATTGCAGAACAATGGAAGCTTAATCATTACAGTCATGAAAAGCATCTGCCCCAAACTCTGAACTGCATAAAATAAACTTTAAAATTAGGGCTGTCAATTAATCATAGTTAACTCATGTGATTAACTAAAAAAAATTAATTGAGATTAATTGCAGTTTTAATTGCACTGTTAAACGATAGACTACGAATTGAAATTTACTAAATATTTTGGATGTTTTTCTACATTTTCAAATATATTGATTTCAATTGCAACACAAAATTCAAAGTATACAGTGCTCACTTTATATTATGATTTTTTTACTACAAATATTTGAACTGTAAAAATGGTGAAAGAAATAGTATTTTGCAAGTCACCTCATAGAAGTACTGTGGTGCAATCTCTTTATTGTGAAAGTTGAACTTACAAATATATAATTATGGACAAAAAATAACTGCACTCAAATACAAAATAATGTAAACCTTTAGAGCTTACAAGTCCGTTCAGTCCTATTTCTTGTTCAGCCAATCACTCAGACAAACAAGCTTGTTTACATTTATGGGAGATAATGCTGCCCTCTTTTTATTTACAGTGTCACCTGAAAGTGAGAAAGGCATTCGCTTGACACTTTTGTAGCCGGCATTGCAAGACGTTTATGTTCCAAATATGCTGAACATTCGTATGCCCCTTCATGCTTCAGTCACCATTCCAGAGGACATACTTCCATGCTGATAGAAAAGGAGTACTTGTGGCACCTTAGAGACTAACAAATTAATTTGAGCATAAGCTTTCGTGAGCTACAGCTCACTTCATTGGATGCATGCAGTGGAAAATACAGTGAGCAGATTTTATATACACAGAGAACATGAAACAATGGGTGTTACCATACACACTGTAACGAGAGTGATCAGGTAAGGTGAGCTATTACCAGCAGGAGAGAAAAAAAAACCTTTTGTAGTGACAATCAAGGTGTGCCATTTCCAGCTGTAGACAAGAACGTGTGAGGAACAGTGGTGGGGGGGGGGAATAAACATGGGGAAATAGTTTTACTTTGTGTAATGTCACATCCACTTCCTTCTTTATTCAAGCCTAATTTAATGCTGTCCAGTTTGCAAATTAATTCCAATTCAGCAGTCTCTCGTTGGAGTCTGTTTTTGAAGTTTTTTTGTTGAAGAATTGCCACTTTTAGGTCTGTAATCGAGTGACCAGAGAGATTGAAGTATTCTCTGACTGGTTTTTGAATGTTATAATTCTTGACATCTGATTTGTGTCCATTTATTTTTTTATGTAAAGACTGTCTGCTTTGGCCAATGTACATGGCAGAGGGGCATTGCTGGCACATGATGGCATATACCACATTGGTAGATGCGCAGGTGAACAAGCATCTGATAGTGTGGCTGATGTGATTAGGCCCTATGATGGTGTCCCCTGAATAGATATGTAGACACAGTTGGCAACAGGCTTTGTTGCAAGGATAGGTTCCTGGGTTAGTGTTTTTGTTGTGTGGTGTGTGGTTGCTGGTGAGTATTTGCTTCATGTTGAGGGGCTGTCTGTAAGCAGGGACTGGCCTGTCTCCCAAGATCTGTGAGAGTGATGGGTCGTCCTTCAGGCCATCCATAGCTTCAGAAACAACTAGGACATCATAATCAAAAAGGCTGACAAAGGAGGTGCTGTTGTCGTCATGAATAGGTCAGAATGTGAACAAGAGGCTGCTAGGCAGCTCTCTAACACCACATTCTACAAGCCATTACCCTCTGATCCCACTGAGAGTTACCAAAAGAAACAACACCATCTGCTCAAGAAACTCCCTGAAAAAGCACAAGAACAAATCGGCACAGACACACCCCTAGAATAAAGACTGGGAGTTTGTGTCATTACACAAAGTAAAACTATTTCCCCATGTTTATTTCCCCCACACACACACTGTTCCTCACACATTCTTGTCTACAGCTGGAAATGGCCCACCTTGATTATCACTACAAAAGGTTTTTTTTTCTCTCCTGCTGGTAATAGCTCACTTTACCTGATCACTCTTGTTACAGTGTGTATGGTAACACCCATTGTTTCATGTTCTCTGTGTATATAAAATCTGCTCACTGTATTTTCCACTGAATGCATCCGATGAAGTGAGCTGTAGCTCATGAAAGCTTATGCTCAAATTAATTTGTTAGTCTCTAAGGTGCCCCAAGTACTCCTTTTCTTTTTGCGGATACAGACTAACACGGATGCAGCTCTGAAACCTTCCATGCTGATGACACTCATTAAAAAATAATGTGTTAATTAAATTTGTGACTGAACTCCTTGGGGAGATTTGACAAAACGCAAAGAAGTTACCAATGTAAGATTTCTAAAGATAGGGACGGCACTCGACCCAAGGTTTAAGAATCTGAAGTGCCTTCCAAAATCTGAGAAGGACGAGGTGTGGAGCATGTTTTCAGAAGTCTTAAAAGAGCAACACTCTGATGCAGAAACTACAGAACCTGAACCACCAAAAAGGAAAATCAACCTTCTCCTGGTGGCATCTGACTCAGATGATGAAAAGGAACATGCATTGGTCTGCACTACTTTGGATCATTATTGAGCAGAACCCGTCATCAGCATGGACACATGTCTTCTGGAATGGTGGTTGAAGCACAAAGGGACAGGGCCATCCTTAGGCATACTCAGCATACTCAGCTGCGTAGGGCACCGTAAAATTTGGGGCACACCTAGATATTAGTGTCCACCCTCCCACCTCTTCCTATCCCTGTTCTGACCCTTCCTG